ACACAAGACATGCAAAGCACAGAATACATGAACAAATGTGATGACTTAATAAGCCAAATCAAAACGGATCACAGAAACCCAGCAAAGTTCCGGGGAAAAAAAAAACCCAGTCAAGAAACCTGCCGGGCACTTGGGGCGAGGAAGCAAGCGCCTTACATCAAAGACGCCTCAGGAAATGTTTGACAAAGACGGAGAACAAGAACAGAGACTTTAGTAAGCATAGGGAAAAGAGATTCAGAATAAACCCAGAGGAAAATGTCAGTTTCTGTCCCAACACACACACACACACACACACACACACACACACACACACACACACACACACACACACACACACACACACCCACACACAAAAACAATTACAAATCTAATTGAAAACATATTTGCTGCATTACTTTCAACACAGACACAATAGACCTTAAGAACATAAGCAGTGAGTGCCACCTTATGAGCCACATAACCATTGAAGAAGTCCTATTAACAACTAAAAGTTGTTAATAATAAGGCACGTGACAATACCACAATATATAAACTGGTATTAACAAAGCTCCCACTGACCACAATCCAACAGTCTGTGCAAATATTAAACGCTGCTCCGGCATGCCGACCATTCATCACCTACTTCACAAAAAATCTCCTTATCACATTAATTCTTAAATCAGTAAAACCCCAAAAAGGAAATTATAGATCAATTTCTCTTCTCAACATGCCAGGTAATTTGTTTGAAAAAGAATAATTAACTGTTAATTGATGAAGTACCTGATAGAGGAGCTAAACAATAACATTAGACAACAGGGGTTCAGAACCCACAAAGGGGCCCACATACAGCTATAGACCTCAGCAGAACTAAGGCTTCGACACACAGTCCCTGTCTTTGTTAAAGTCTTTGTTAAACTGAAGACAATCGACTTGAGAATGGTCCAGGACGGACCGAAATGTCGTCGTCCCTTCACCTTCTAGTGTGTGGTCTGGTCAACATACTTTAGCCACGTTATTGTGACTCATCGCCTGCATATTAAACTGAAAACATTCCGTAACCTTGGGAGGAACATACAGCTACATTTATGCAAAACTAGTCAGGTTGCGTCTCGAATACCCTTCCGCATCACTACATACCTTTATGAAAACTAACATGCAAAACTTACAAGCAATGCGAAATAAAAAACAGAATAACGGCACAACACCGTATGACCAAACAATTTAGGAACTCCATGAAGTCCTGAATATACAACCACTCAACATCAGACAACAGCACCAACTCACCAGGGTGTAGAATAAGTTCGAATCATAAGGAGACCCATAGCTAGGGAAGACTACTCCCAAGATGAAACGCCATATTACCATAGTTGGTAACCCAATAGCTTGAACCTACTCTAGGGTAACAAAGCCCCACTATACCGAATTCCAAAACGAAATACAAACCAGAAAATAACCCACCAAGAAACAGGAATATGAACACTAATTACTTACTCAAGAGAGTAATCAGACTAACGTGATGTGTCAATGAGTAAATCATGGGAACACCCACTGCACAGGTTGAAACCCTCATCACGAATTTTCTCACTAATTACTTACATATTACAAAACACAACAGCAATGCAGAACAAAGCATTACATTAGCACATGAGTGTATATATAGACATCCTATAGACATTCATATATGTTAAAATTCATGTGCAAATCCTTCCAAACATTCGCCGCTCCTTGACAAGACAGAGTCAACTTGGCAAACACTAACATTGTGTCAGAGTGACGGACATCCCGCCTGGTATCATAACTATTGTTTTCCTTCCCTTGTTGCTCTCATCTATCTCTCATCTCTCTCTCTCATATCTCTCTCTCTCTCATATCTCTCTCTCTCTCATATCTCTCTCTCTCTCATATCTCTCTCTCTCTCTCTCTCTCTCTCTCTCTCTCTCTCTCTCTCTCTCTCTCTCTCTCTCTCTCTCTCTCTCTCTCTCTCTCTCTCTCTCGCACTCCTTCCCAAAACGTCAACCCTTTCCATCCCTTCACACAGACATCAGAATAGCGTGATGCATCAAATGAACAAATCCACCAGGGCCGTGATGAGGGTTCAAACCTACGTCCGAGAGGATCCCAGACGCAGCTACAGACACTGTGCCACGACATGGTTAAAAGAATTGCAACCGGGAGTGCAACTGCTCTCACACGGATCCTGCAACACGGCCCTTGTGGATTTGTTCTTTCCCTCCCTCTCCCCTCCCCCACCCTCACTAATCCATATAATATCGACCCGTCCAGTCGCATCAAAACTATAAATCGCTCCAAAACGATTGTTAACGCGACCCTAGCGAGGAGCTGCCCATCACAACCCCCCCCCCATACCTCCTCCCATCCCTCGTCCACCCCCACCTCACACCTCGTCCACACCCCCCCCCCACCCCACACCTCGTCTGCTCGTACCCCACAGCCCTCTTTCCTCTTACCTAACCACCAACGTACGAACCTAAGCAACCCACCTAACCTAACCTAACCTAACCTAACCTAACCTAACGAGAACGCTGCACAGAAAACGTCAGTATTGCGGGTCATTTCAATTCATACTAAAACGTCGCATTTTTAACGAATTGGTCGATTCCGCACAACAAAACAAAATAAGGAGGTATAAAGAAAGTTGACGAATTAAGAGATATATTAAGTAACGAATACTTTCTTAAGTCTTATTTATTAGAATAAGATAAATGAATAAAAGTTATAGAGTAATATTTAAACCTAATACAATTTATTAATTTAAATTGGTTATAATGACGCTTATTAAAGTATATCTTATAAAGTTCATGTTATGATTGAACAAGATTATAGCAATATAAAGATAAATATTATGAACGTAGACCTTGAATTTGTGGACAAATTTTGGAGTATCTGTTGAGTGTGAGTGAGGCCTGTGAGTCTCACACTCACAGCCTGTGAGTGTATTGTGAGGCCTGTGAGGCTCACACTCACAGCTTGTGAGTGTATTGTGAGGCCTGTGAGGCTCACACTCACAGCCTGTGTGTGTATTGTGAGGCCTGTGAGGCTCACACTCACAGCTTGTGAGTGTATTGTGAGGCCTGTGAGGCTCACACTCACAGCCTGTGTGTATTTTTTTTTTATTTTTTTATTTTTTTTTATTTTCTACCACAGACGTGGCCACACATTTACAATGCTAACTAGCATATATACATTTTCTTCTGTCCTCCATGGACAGGGTTAGAGATGTGTTAAACATATAGTTCAAGGGTTTATTGAAGAATCAACCACAGAAGGTGATTCGATGCTTTTAAAATGCTAAGCTAACCTACATACCACTTGACTATGAGTTTGGACAATGGCAGTGTTGCAGACGATGAGTTACAATAACGTGGCTGAAGATATGTTGACCAAACTACACTTTAGAAGATGGAGAAACACAGACGTTTCGGTTCGCCCTGGACCTTTATCACGTGTTATTCCCAACACACCACTTGATATGGTCCAGGACGGACCGAAACGTCGTCGTTATCTAATGACTTACTGTAAATATATAGTTCTTGAAATAGAACATTCTCTGTAACTAGCTGACATGTAACTATAAGGTGTGAAAGATAGATGAAATTGTTTATGTAATAATTTAAGATGAGGTCTGAAAAAGACCTTTTGTGCCGTCTGTAATGCTTTTGCGCTACGGCTCACAGGATGAGTGTGGGGTGCACAATAAACTAGCCGCCTCCAGCGGCAACAATCAATCAAATCGTCCTTTCTCCATCTTCTAGTATGTGGATTGATCGATTGATCACCAACGAAAGTGTTAGTGTATTGATTGAGAGGTCGAGAGAATCTTCGTTTCAAAGGGTAGGCAGTACACTGGAACCCAAAATGAATGGAACAGGAATAAAAAATACACAATTACAGAACATACAGAGTAACAGCTACGGTCAAATTATCCCCCAAAGGTCGAAAATTTACGACGTGTTCGGTGCTAGGTGCTTTGTGTACGTATTGCTTAAGACGTGCTAGATTGTACGTGTGCGCCACCTAGTGAGGACGGGGTGAAGCATGGGGTGTCTTGTGTCCTCGGCACCTGCACCCGTGGCCAAGATCTCCTCTCTCTCTCTCTCTCTCTCACCAGGCCACGGATGACACTTTAGGCAGGGATAGTTGTCGCTCCCAGCCCTGCCGTCCTTACCTGGCGTGTATGAGGGCAGCTGGCAGCCCTGCCGTCCTTACCTGGCGTGTATGAGGGCAGCTGGCAGCCCTGCCCTCCTTACCTGGCGTGTATGAGCGTGGCTGGCAGCCCTGCCCTCCTTACCTGGCGTGTATGAGCGTGGCTGGCAGCCCTGCCCTCCTTACCTGGCGTGTATGAGCGCGGCTGGCAGCCCTGCCCTCCTTACCTGGCGTCCATGAGCGCGGCTGGCAGCCCTGCCCTCCTTACCTGGCGTCCATGAGCGCGGCTGGCAGCCCTGCCCTCCTTACCTGGCGTCCATGAGCGCGGCTGGCAGCCCTGCCCTCCTTACCTGGCGTCCATGAGCGTGGCTGGCAGCCCTGCCCTCCTTACCTGGCGTGTATGAGCGTGGCTGGCAGCCCTGCCCTCCTTACCTGGCGTCCATGAGCGCGGCTGGCAGCCCTGCCCTCCTTACCTGGCGTCCATGAGCGTGGCTGGCAGCCCTGCCCTCCTTACCTGGCGTCCATGAGTGTGGCTGGCAGCCCTGCCCTCCTTACCTGGCGTCCATGAGCGTGGCTGGCAGCCCTGCCCTCCTTACCTGGCGTGTATGAGCGTGGCTGGCAGCCCTGCCCTCCTTACCTGGCGTGTATGAGCGTGGCTGGCAGCCCTGCCCTCCTTACCTGGCGTGTATGAGCGCGGCTGGCAGCCCTGCCGTCCAAGAGCGCGGCTGGCAGCCCTGCCGTCCAAGAGCGCGGCTGGCAGCCCTGCCGTCCTTACCTGCCGTCCAAGAGCGCGGCTGGCAGCCCTGCCCTCCTTACCTGCCGTCCAAGAGCGTGGCTGGCAGCCCTGCCCTCCTTACCTTGACAAAGTTATCGGGGAAGACGCCGGTGGTGTCGCGGAGTTTGCCCTGGAACCAGCCGGTCTCGAGGCGAGTGACATCAGTGATGAGGTCTCCCACACTGAGCACCAACTCGTCATCATGCTGAGGTTCATACGCGAACACCACCTCCACTTCTGTCACAACAACCACCACAACATTAGTCATATTCCTAACAATAATAACATTAATATTAATAATAATAATAATAATAATAATAATAATAATAATAACATTATTATCTATTGTCTTGGATAAGAAGCCTTTTCTTAGGGTTATCAACTCTTTATTGTGTGGCAGTGCACAACAGTTAGATTTACAAATTCGTAAATTAAAACATGAATGGTCTAGTGTAGTTGATTGTACTCATGATGCATATATGTGTGTGCTTCAGCCTACAGTTTAGACCTACTGTCTTGTGTATGACCTTCTGTCCTGTGTGACAGTGAATACTAGCATCATCCTCACTGATAAGACCGTACTGAATTATTCAGATCAGGCAAAATTGTAATAAATTTTGTCAATAAAGACGTTAACAATAATGATGAGATCTGGACCCCGAGTGTCAGCAAGGTAGCGAAGTTATTCTGTGTATATTTAAAGTGGGTCTTTACCTCTCTTATGAATATAACTTCCATGAATTGCTTTCTTCTTTGGTCAGTGATAGGTTCTAGGATTTGTATATTACCTACTAGTACTTCTCTGCTCATAAACTGCTCAATAAATGTAAACAAATCCACCATGATTGGGGAAAGATGTACAGGTTTCGTTTGTGGCTGGCCAAATGCTTGATGAATGGTGTTGGTTGAGCACGTGCGTGCGACTGGTTGTCATCAGCTCACGCACATCTCCGGGCGCGGGGCGGCCCGATGGAAGCCCCGCAAGAGTCCTGTAAAATGGTTACAGCAAAAATCGATGTTGGAGCGTTTAAAGCGACCAGTGACGCAAGGTGTGCCGAGTGGAGGCGGCCACTTGATTAAAGTTGCATCCAGAGAGATGCTCCACACCATCACCTACACTGTTGTTGTTGTTGTTTCAGATTTAGCTACTCAGGACGTTAGGATTTAGCTACTAGCTACTAATCTAGCTACTTTAGACACTACAAGTGTCCATGTAGCACGGGCTATGGTGAGCCCGTAATCACATACACCTCCCAACGTTATTATTTGCTCCCCGGACCTCACCACTTCCCCCTGACTACTCTACGTACCCTCAGATATGACAACTGACAACACAATGGCCTTTATACCACCTAACAACACCCCTCTCCGCCCCATGATGACACCAAATTAGAATAAACCGTAAAACTGATTTCACATTATATTTACAAACATTACAAACTCTCGCGCCGTCCTCCCGATGGCTAGTGGTATGGCCACTAGACGTCCTCTTGTGAACACAAATTCAAATTCAAAATTCAAATTTTTATTCAGGTAAAAGTCCATACATAGATGATGAGTTACAATAATAATGTTGGATTTATAGATAGAGCCAGTACATACAACATGCCGTCTCTCTCTCATAATCCGGATTTTACCTCCACCTTTGTTTATAAAACGGGCCGAGGTAATCATTCTCCGCTTCTCTTGCATGATAACTGGGTCGCTCCAGGCACGCTCCGGGTCGGTAGCGTGCGAAGCCCAATGATCTGGGGCCAGATTCATGAAAGCACATACGCAAGCACTTACGAACGTGTACATCTTTCCTCAATTTTTGACAGCTTTGGTTTCATTTATTAAACAGTTTACAAGCATCAACACTTCCTATTCAACTGTTGTTATTGTTATAAACAGCCTCCTGGTGATTCGGAGCTCATTAACTGTTTAATAATTGGAAACAAAGCCGCCAAAGATTAAGAAAAGATGAACAGGTTCGTAAGTGCTTGTGTAAGTGCTTTCGTGAATCTGGCCCCCTGCTTCTTAAGAGGTATATCTTGAGGTTATCTTGAGATTATTTCTGGGCTTAGCGTCCCCGCGGTCCGGTCCTCGACCAGGCCACCTTCTGTTACACACCCCCAGGAAGCAGCCTGTAATAGCTGTCTAACTCCCAGGTACCTATTTACTGCTAGGTAACAGGGGCATGAGGGTGAAAGAAACATTTTGCCCATTTGTCTCCACGTCCACCGGGGATCGAACCCGGAACCTCAGGACTACAAGCGCTTTCCACCCAGCTGTCAGGCGCCCGTAGGTAGAGCTAACCTTTAACATCATCCTTGTTAACAGTCATCATCAGAGCACTACACGCCTGTCGAGGGCATGATGACGCCTGTCGAGGGCATGATGACGCCTGACAAGACTATAGTGAGTCTTGGCGAATGCATAATGATCTGCCTCATTATGACCCCCCCCCCCCCCAAGTGCTCCAGCAATGGGACTAACTTGTCAAAGCGTCAACCAAATACACACTTAAAAACGCCGGAAACTTTCCAAACACAAGACAATGTTTAATGTCAATTAACCACATCCGTTATACTAACCCAAACTTAATGCAGTATGCCCTCTTGCAACCAGACACGACTATCAGCATGACAACGGTCGCTGAATACTAATCAACTGGGTGCCAAGTCATGAAGGAATGTCAGGGAATGACATTAAGGATGAAACTGAATCTTGCAACTAAGAGGAGGAATTAAACATTTTCACAGCACAGTGTTTACAACTGATTAGCAAAATAATTAGAGAGAGAGAGCAATGGAGATGTAGAGTGACCACAACGCAGCAACTGGAACATTGGGATCTGCGTATGGTACAATAGTTCATCCAAAATGCAAACCACATATTTTGTTGAAAGGGGAACAGCACAAGAACGAAAGTGCATTTATACTGCATCATGGCCTGGATACCCATGTGCATGATAAATAGGCCTATAGGTTCCATGATATATATGTACTGCCGCCTACAGTTTAGACCTATTGTCTTATGTATGACCTCTGTCCTGCGTGACGGTGAATACCAGCATTATCCTCACTTTAATAAGACTTAATCGAAATCCTCAGATTAGGCAAAATTGTAATTGTCAATAAAGATGTTAATAATAATAATATAGGCTCCAGAAGAAGAGAAAATGTCAGCACTGAGGAGACACGCCAAACTTAGATAACACTTGAACGTTATCTAACACAGTGCAGTGTTACAAACCAAGCAACATTTCCACTTACATTTAACTTCGCAAAAGTTATTATACACATGGGACATAATTTTAACTTTACTGAAGCTAACATACCAGCCACAAATACTCATCCACCACCTGAGTAAGACAAGTGAGCAGCACTTAGCAAGCCCGCCCGAGGCTAAGCTTACATTAACTTGCAGGAAGTTTCATTTCTGTACAGCTGATTAGGATAATTCACATCCTAGTGATAGCCGGGAAGCGATGGTCAACACCGATCTGGCCTATGGCAAGGACGAGACCATTAACAACACAAACATGAACATGCTGCTGCTCCCCAAACATTACCCGCCACACACACACACAATTTATATAAAACTATGAAATATGACACACAACACGGTCATAACTGACGAACAACCGCACCAGGAATATCTTTTGACGTCTACAGTTGCACAACTCGCATACGCTCCAGTAGCCTCCAAATACAGGCTTGCCAAGATAAGGCTTCATTTGTTCCAACTTCCTGTGCGTCAGGTGTTCCAACCTGACTAACGGTGTTAGGGCTTTTGATTCCTCAGGCTCTTATATGTTATGCAACCTGCTTCAGCTCCACGCTTGACGCAAATACATACAGGAATGCAAATACACACACAATTACAACAAATGCATTTGTTACTGAAGAGAACGATATCAAATTATAATAAGGTAAAAAAATGTGACACCGGATCACACACAGAGATCACACTAACGTGATGCATCAAACTCGTCACGGCCCTTGTGGATTTGTGACACCGGATATTGTAAAACTAGATACTGTATAGTGATTGTTAAAAACTGTAACTAATCAAGACTGTAACTGGCTTAGCTAAATGAATTTGGGGGTTCCAGTTCCTAGACCCATTATGTGCCTCTGTAACCTATTCTACTACCGCCCATTAAATGGGTACAGGATGCAAAATGAGTATGAGTAGTCTTCCCCCCTACCCCCAACCCACCCAAAGCAATATTATCACTATAAACTGTGTCAACTATTCGAACCAAAGCAGCCAGGGTCTCCCCTAATGAGTGTCGAGCACCGTGACCACTACACCAGCGATTGCCCATAAGTATTGGATGGTTCTAAGGCGCGATAGAGTATTATAATGCTCAACACATTGCCCGGGGGACCACTAGAGCTCTGCAGAGACAGACAGGTACACGCCGCGCGATCCCAGCTTTGCCAAGGCACTGATGAAATACGTGTGACCAATTTGCACCACAAGTGCTGCTGGGTATTGACAACATGCGGGTCTCAGGACCATCCAATACTTCTAGGTAATCGCTGGTGGTGTAGTAATTACGGTGCTCCACACCCAGTTGGGGAGATCCTGGCCGCCTGGAGTCGAATCCTTGGTGTCAGAGTTTATACCGATATATTTTAATCTTGTGTATTTTTCCTCCGACCCTATTTTCACCCCAACCCACCCAATCTATCTATCCATCTATCTGTCTATCTATATCTCTATCCCTGTCTACCTCTATCCCTGTCTATCTCTATTGGCTTGCGTTTTAGGAGTTGGCTTGGGCTAGGAGCCAATTTTCCCCAAATTTCCTCCCAATAAAAAATCAAAATAGCCTAAGATGCGAGACGTGATAAAAGTAGTAGTAATATGAACATGATGTGATATGCTCCTGCGGGAAGAGTAAGAGTGTATGGGAGCTGTTACATCTATGGAAGAGGTGAAAGGTGAAGATATCAATCAATGAAGAAGCTGAAATGTAAGCAAGCTGGACTGTAGGTGCTCATTAGGCATCTGCAGAAATGATGAAATGTTATGCACATTAAGGAACGGAATGGGTGTGTCGAGTTTGCCAAAAAGGTGAGGAATAGTGGTGATGTGCCAAAGGACTGGAAAACAGCAGTTTCTGTACACATGTCTAGAAACGAAGAACGTACAGAGTGTAGAAATTATAGCGCTATCAGTTTGCTAAATTTAGCGGTCAAAGTGATTGACACGATCGAAGCCTGAGGCGAACGGATAAATAT